TTTAATCTGTTACTGTTTAGATTTTATGTTCTTAATGTAAATTAGTTTATTTCTGTTTTTAAACAAATTGGCCATGAATACATAAATACCCTAACACCAAATTTATGAAGTAGCAATAAGTAGGCAGTGCTTTCAGTAGGTGAGTTCCAAGCCTGACTAGTCTCCTTTAGAGCCAATTGGCAAAACGTTGCTGACAAATTGAAGAAAAATCAATTTCATGAACATTTCTGTCAAAAGTTTCCCACCATTTATATCTATTTACTATCAGCGCTTTATTCTTGTGGATATCAATGTTCCCTATAAGCTGAGTGCTTGGGTGGCTACCTAGTTGATTAGCAGAGCACCTGCAGAGCCAATAGTATGTATTTCTACTGGTGGTGCACCTCTGTACGTCTTGGTTATGTATTTCTACTGGTGGTGCACCTCTATACGTCTTGGTGCATGTGACGGGGTGGACAGGCCCCAACGTAGGGCAAATAACCAAGTTCATATCCAAATTTGTAGCTAACGTCCTCAGCAATGTTTGACTCCACATATGTGGTTTAGGGCCATTTCCTTATGTGTACCAGACTTCCTGATTTCATTCAATGTGGCTTGTGAAGCAGGGGAGAAACAATGTGTTGCTGAACTGCAGTCAGCAACCGCATATAGTTTTGGCTAATTGAATAGACAGTTGTACCTTTTGCTTTCAAACCACGGTACAGGTTTCTTGTGTAGATAAAGGTACTGCCTAAGAGGCGAAGGGGCCTGGGGGGAACCAGGGCGTGGTAGGAAGCAGCCCAGGGCAAAGGAGACAAGGTTTGGCTCGGTGTGTATCGGCCGCAGGGACCATAGGCCCTGCCTAAAGGGCCCTGGGCTGGGACCCGGTGGAGAGGGAGGGCCCGGGTCCCCCTACCACCCATTTTCCCTTCCCTGGATAAGCGAACCCCGGGCCAGGGGAGGCTTCTCAGAGCGGCTAGGTCTCTAGTACCGTATATGCCCTGATAGAAGGGCCTGGACTTTTACGTCGGGACTTTGGGGTACTGTACAGGCCCGATAGGAGGGGGCCGAGCCCCTTGTCAGAGGCGTACCTCCTGACAGTGCACATAACTTTTTCTATCAGTGTGCAGAATAAAATTTGCTAAGAGGCAACATTGGTGGACATACCAAAGAAAAAAGCGTTCACTTTTTCCTAGAAGAGACAGTTAATGTTATATTTGATACAAAATAAGTAGTAGTCAAAAAATATATTTAGCCAGAAATGAAGGTTATGATTGTTATATAATCTAGCATGAGTTTTTAATAGACTATTTCTTTTTTGTTATATATTTAAGTAACTTAGTGGTGGTGTGTAGATGCTTGTGATTTGGATGCTTTATTTTCCTTCTTGATTGTTTTCTTTTAAAACTTAGTTTAGTTTTTCCCATTTTTTGGTATTACCTGCTTAATCATAGTGGATTGAGTGGTTTTAACTGATTTTAGGATAGAACATCTGTGTTTTCTTTGGGTTGTTTATAATGTTTGTACAGGCAGTCCCCGGGTTACGTACAAGATAGGGACTGTAGGTTTGTTCTTAAGTTGAATCTGTATGTAAGTCGGAACTGGCGTCCAGATTCAGCCGCTGCTGAAACTGACCAGCGGCTGATTCCAGGAAGCCTGGGGCAGAGCAACTCTGCCTCGGGCTTCCTGTAGTCAGCGCTGGTC